AATATTTTTTCCCCCTTGTTACTTTCATCACTATACACAACATTATGTATGTGCTGAGTTCCTAGCTGAAATGGTAGCTTAACCCTAAATTTGTTTTAAAAACAATAGAAGAAACTGGAATTAATCTTGGAGACAGGCCGTTGAGATCAATAGAAGGATAATGCAATTAAAGATGTATGGCTCTTTAAACCTTTCTTCAGAACAGCAGAATCTCATTCATAAGTTTAAACTAATTCTTTTTGTATGTAAAACCATGTACATAATAAAGGTGATAATCTTTCAGGACCATTGATCTCACGATCTGGGGTTGTATTTAAAGAGGAAAGTGAGTATATCTTCTAATCTTAAAAGTAAATGTACTGTTTTAGAATGCTGAGAGACATAGGATAAAAAAGGAAAAAAGGATTAGAGAAGACAAAATGCCTACTTGTTTCCATTAAGTAGTTCTTTCCACCAAATCCTTCCCATGGAATCAACTTTTGTCTATAGCGGCAAACAAAAATGATTCCAACTGCCAATGTGATCAGAAGTGATCCACATGTGATAGCACCAATGACAAATACTTGTCCAAATCTAGGTTCTTTTGCTTTGCATCTTCCGTAACTGAAATATTAATGCTAAAAAAAATCAAATTATGCTTTACTTAAAGCGTCTGTTTTTTCGTTTCAAAGAGTGCATCATACTCTGTATTGATCAGGGAACCATTCAAATTAGCTGGAGTGTCTTCACTCATGCGTTTGTTGCAGGCATAATACCTATGAGTGAATAGAGTACAAGCAAAATTTGTAGAAAGTATATTAAAAAACTAAATAATCAAAAGTGACTTCTTGGTACGGATGAAATAGAATGTCAACTCAAATACTTACAAAGATTTCAAATATGGCAGTGAGACAATTGATTCTGGAAGTGACCCCATAAGATCATTGTAGCTTAGATCTCTGCTCGGAAATATAAATCAATCAACATATGAACAACTTTCAGTGGTAGGTAATTTTCTTGATGACACTAGTAGGAATATTCTCTATGATCTGAATCTAAGTGCAGGAAGGAACAAATAAGATCATCATATGTAACATAATAATGTCAAAGCACGTCTTTCCAAATATTATCCATACAGAGATGGCATACAGAGGCATATCTGCACCTACTAACGTGTCACAAAGAAATAAGGGTTAGGATGCTCGTGAATATTATAGATAACTGCTTAATTTGATATTTTCTATCTCTTATGTGACTGACCTAATTCCTAGAATTATGCATAGGATGTTAGAGCATGTACAGAGACATCAAATCAGAAGGATTTATTTCAATAGAGTGCTAACCCTAATGCAATTATGTGTTTTCCATATGTGTGTAGGATACTGAATCCATGTAATACTACACGGTTATGCTTCCTCGCTGCTTCAAGAAGGAGAACAAAGGCTAGGAACTAAACTTTTTTATTAAATCATGGTATTTTCGCCACCCATTTAAATCAAATTTCAGGTAAATGCATGTTGAGTCGTGTAGTGAACCTAACTAGCATTTCGTTCAGTAATTAAGTGTTTTGGTTCTGCTTATTTTCACGATAACACTAACAAGTATAATAGAAGTATTATAATTGACATCTAGCATAGCTAAACATTAGAAGGGGTCATTACATTGATATCAACAAGGAGGACGGTGGAAACGAGGGAATATATCCATTGAAATTGTTGTGGCTCAGGTTCCTGCACATGACCAAATAGTTACATCCATGCATATAACAGAGTCCCAGGTTATCCTCCAAAAATAGATGCAGAAGCAATTGAAAGAGAGTTTTGAATGCAATACAGTATTTTTAAGTTGGTCATCTCAGTAACAGTAGAAGGAATTGGTCCTTTGAAATTACTTGAGGAAAGATCCCTGGAAATAGAGAAAAAATGTAGTTAACAATAAAAAGATTATGAAAAGGGGAATAAGCACATAAAAAAAACACTTCATTTATCTGAACAAGAACCTACTTAGCTAGAGATATGGATTGGTTGGCAATCATGTATCAAAGCATTAAAACCTTGTCTACATAGTGGTCTTTGACTAGGTATTCCTATAGACATAGTTGTGAGATTGAGTGGATGTTTAGTAAAGTATGCATGGAGTAAAAATACATCTTTCTTATTTTTTTCAAAAACTCAGCTGTGAAAGTTTTTGAATCTCGTAAGAATTCAAATCACTGGCTCTGGATTAAATTCACCAGGGTTGCATTTCATTTCCACTGTGATCATCCAGTCTTGGGTTACTAAATCCATAATTCGAGTTGATATACATGTGGCAGTGTTTTAACTAGAACTGGAGGACTTACAGCTTGGTGATAACAGACGAGCCATTTGAACCATCACACTCTATTCCGTGCCAGGGGAAAATACAAGGGTCTCCGGTCCAACTCTCTAGCACTTTAGTGTTTTGGTTTTGCAACAACAGTTCTTCTCTAATCTTCTGAATCACTTCCACTAAAAGTAAAAATAAGAGAGAAAGAGATTGAAGACTGGTTACAAATTAAAATACATCCATAAACCATCTTAATTATAGACATGAATAAGAAAATGGAATGTAAAAAACAAAGGGTCTATTTGGACAACCTTCTCCATAAGGTTTTCTAAAAGAGAAAAACAAGAAAAAATTATATGAACTACTCAGAATTAGCTCACCACATATTAAAAAATAAAAATCTAGAGAAGTTATACGTGAAAGTTTCTACAAAGTTTTTTTGTAAAATAATTTTAACTTTTGAAGAAGCTGATGTTATTTTTTCTCGTTAGCTTTTTCTTGTAGAAATTCTTAGAGAGAAGTTTATCCAAATAGGTCCCAAGTGCAATAACCCCACCCAAAAAAGGAGGAATGCAACACAGACACACTACCATCTTTTTGGTTGGTCTCTTCAATCCATGGTCGCATTTGCAAGATCTCATAAGCATTCAAAAGGGGTCCAAACTCAGCACCAGATGCCTTGACCAAGGTTAAATTAAGTAAACCGTTTGCTGAAACATTCAAGACAGTGTATGTATAGTTGGACCCTCTCGCCAATATGTCAAACTTTTCCCTTTGAATCTCGCTATTAACATAGATGTCAAACACCCTTTTCCCTTCTTTGACAGTGCTATTTAATTCAAGGAAGTAGAGAAATATACGATATTCATAATCCTCAGTGTCAAGGCTGCTGTGGATCTCCAATCTCTCAGGGTCGGTAAGAGCTGTCTGTAGGACTCGTAGAGGTGGTGTCATGTTGGATTTGAGGTCAAAATTTTTATCATTGTAAGACAACGGGAGAGCAGATGATGGACTTGAAGTTGCTTTCCATATTCTATCACTTGGGTCATCTGGGAACCTATAATTTGGTAAATAGCCATATTATAAGACCTTCCATTCATAGTCCATGGTATCAAGAAGCAACACAAAGCTATAAACCAAACACTAAACACAAATCACTTCAATAAACTAAGGATAAATCCCATTGACACCCTTTTTTCAATTTGCACCACTTATGGTTTATAAGTTATGACAGTAATTCTTGTGAGTCACATTATAATGGATTGAGTGATAATAGGTTTTTGGCTTCTCGTTTTTTTGTTATTTTCATTACGATGCATCTTATTGCATCATAAAGAAAAGAAGCTGTACATAAAGGTGTGTTACACTTCTGTCTATTAGGTGAAGATAGGTTATCTCATGCATTTATAGGTATGATCCTTGCACATGGAGCTCAACTTCATTCTGTTTAAAGCATTACCAAGAAAAATGTAAAATTGCTATTATTTATTCCATAAACACGTTGATTGAATATTTAACATCCATTTCCTATATTGTGAACATAATGCTTCCATAAAAACCATAAAGTGATAATTCCTAAGCCTTGTAGATTTCTAGGAGATACACTTCTTTGACAAATGGTGGTGAAGTTTACCTCAAACTAAAGTATATGACATACCTGATTTCATCTTTTGTGTCCCAGAGACTATTTCTGCTTATCAATTTTAAAACGCTGGCAGGCAAATCATGAAGTAGGTAATCTTCTGGCAATGGCCTTAATTCCAGCTGAGAAATAAACGGATCCACCTCCCCCTTCACTAAGCAGAAGTCAATGTAGTCTTTGGTAGCCCTAAAAACTCCCTCAATCTCAATTTCCAAGTCCTGGGGCGTGGATGGTCTCACTGCACCTAATTGTGTTACCCCAATTGAAACATTAAATGAAGAATTTATACTGTCAAATGGAAACGTGCCCCTTATCAGATATACTTTATTCTTAATTGTTGGTAAATTGTAACATCTCTTTCCTTCATCTATAGAAAACAGTCGAACTTTTTCATTCAAACCAATTTTAGGTCTTCTGCAGCTTCCTCTGTTAGGGAACCATGTGTAATCTGTTGTGTAATTTAAGGTGGTCTGGGGATCTGTGTAATTTGAATCAGCACAACATGCTATGTTTTCAAACCCTACAAAAAATGTCACGAATTAGACTTATTTTGTACTAAAAGGGATTTTCCCCTAAATAAATTTGAGCAACATAAATAAAAGAAAGTGTAAAATGATTTTACGATTCTGTGGGTGGAAACTGGAAAGAATAAAACTATCAGTTCTGTTTCTTTATCCTCACAAATTTTGTTTGTTTTTTCTCGATTTAACCTTGATCATCAGTTGACCTTTAGTTTATATTAAATTTTTTGCTATCATTATTGGAAAATATACCAGGTAATAGACATCATGATCTAAAAGAATTATAATCTTAACTACTAACCTTCAGTTGCAGAGCCAGAAACTGATCTGATAAATATATGCAGACAAACAGCACATGCCACAACCAGTTTCGATACCCAAATTTCGCGTAACTCCATCATAATCTGGAATAGGGGTTACCCCATTGGTTTGCAAACTTGAATCATGCCGACTAACACTTCATCTTCCACCTAGTACCATAAATTTTCTTCTGAATTCCATTTCTTTCTCTGCCTTGATCACCAACACTCTTGAGTTTTCCTATATCTCAGATTAGGGGAGAAATGAAAGAAAGCTTGCCTAATCCCATAATTCTGAGAACTTGTCTCTTGTGAAAGATTTTGAAGCCATTTTGCACAAGTACTGAATTGGTTGGAGGATTAGAAGAACAAATATCCTTGAGAAATAGGGGTTTGACTTCAAGCCTGGAAACTGCAGGAGGTAGTAGATAGGAAAGAGATGGAAGACGAGTAAGGAGATTGAATTAGTATAAATCCATTGTTAAATATTTCTTTTATAGTTTTATATGTTATTGATGTTAAACATTATTTTTCATGGAGTGGTGGTGGTGGTTGCTTGATTATGTGTATTTAATATTGATATGGTTTAAAATAATTGGACAGACCACTCCTTCGTCTTCTTCTGCCTTCCTTCTTCTCATTTGAAACCATGGATGTTACATGATCAAAATAAGAGTGGTATCTTGGAACAAATTTGAACTTTTCTGGAATACATACGTAGCAATTGTTAGTGACGTATCGTTGAATATATTTATTATATATTGCATACTTAGCTTTCCACTAATGTTGACCTATGCAATTTTATACTAATGGTTATGAGCATTATTGTTAGTCTCATGTTTCTGATTACGCTTTAGGTAGGTAATGAAGTTATAGGGGAAAAGAATTCAAATAAAAAATTATTAAAGATAGGAATTGTGAAGAGTTTCAAAGATGAGACTGTTCATTCTCATGCCTAGCACTATCAACACACCAATTATTCCCTTTCATGTTTTCTATAATATTTTGCTTATAGATAAACATTTGAAACCAAGTATCAAGAGGAAGTGGCTCAAGGAAACCCCAAAAGAGCAGGTAACCCCTTGACATCCTTGTAGTACTAGCCTAACTTTTAAGCGTGATCAGACTAAAAATTTACTTTGCAAATTAAATTAACATCAATTTAGCAGAATTTTTGGTCAATATAATTGCTTACCTAATCTCATATATAACTTCTTAGTCATATAAAAAGAAAATTCCAAAGGGCATAGGAAACACACTCCATACTACATCCTATTTCTTATTCATTATTATAAACATATTTTACACTAATTATTTTGATAGAAACAAAGCGTGCTTAGGATGCAATCCCATTTGTGTTTGAGCTTGTTAGATATATTGATTAAAAAATTCACATACTGAGTCAAAAGTCAGATGGTCAACATGTGAACATAATATTATCATGATTAAATTTGCTGTAATGTGCACTGATGAAATCAGGTTGTTATGTGTAGGATACCTTAAGGTAAACCAGAATTCAATAATTTATCTTAGTACTTTTAAGGTTTGTAAGCTTAATAATATTACTGATAGTTGAAGTTATTTCTTAATTACTCTTCTTGAGTGCTAGGGAGCTGATGTATCAGTAAATTTCACGTCTGATGTATCATAGTATTAAGATTGGAATTAGTCTCAAATCCAGTGGATAAGGAAAATTCTATTGCAAAAAGGAAAAAACTTGGGTGAATGTAGAACGTTCTGTTTTGCTTGGTAAAATATAGAAATAAAATGTTCAAAACAATGTACTCAGGCTGTAAAGGATGCAGTGGCTATCACGTTGGGGGGAAATTGACATGTTTAACTGGAAATGATAATTAAGAATTTAGAAATTATAGTTTGTAATTTATCTAACTAAAGCTCTTTTAACTTTTTCTAATTCAAACAGTCATTAGTAGGTAAAATTTGTAATTCAGTTGAGTAAATGCGTTTTTCCTTGTTCCAATAATATAGAATTTTCTCATTATTTTTATTTTATATATATAAAGGCATAACAATCCAGATTATAATGGAAGGCATTGTAAATACAGAAAGGACAGATGTTGATATGATTAACATATAACGTTATGCTTGGTCAGTCTCAATCCCATAGCAGACGTTCAAGCACATCTCGTTAACTAAAATCTTCTATTCTGTGTAAAAAGAATATTGTTATTTATAGAATTAGTCCGAATAACAAGTTGCATAGAAAATTTATATATTGCCGGTAATTTCAAAGCTTGTAAAGGATTCAAATCGAAGATAGAAGAATTTGATGCAGTCATCATCATATTTTTTGGAATTTTACGTGAACATTAAGTCAATCCAATTCAATTTATCAATTCTTCACTTCAAGTTTGAAATCTTAATCTATGGTGACATACATTAATAAATCATCTTGCCAAACTCAGGGTAAATTAGCCTTTTGGGTATGATTAAAGGTTTTCCCCCATTATATATATATATATATATATTGTATATTTTGGCCTAAGATTTTAAATATGATTATTCCATCCAAGTTGGCTTGCCTATACCCGACAAAGCGAATTTGATACTTCCAATGGATTTAGTGGCATATTTCTGTATTAAGCTTTGTCTGCTAATAATACATATACATGTCCAAAACCTTTGTTATAAGGCCAAACTTCAACTCTGCATATTATCTATGAGAAACGAAATAAAAAATCATCCAAACAGTTGGCACGACAACTGGTAGAAGACCTTTCATAATCAATCATCAACCAAAATAATAGTAATAAAAAGAAAAAGGAAACATTTCATTCATCTTTAATAAGTCAATACTAATTGAAATTATCAACTCAACATTAATTAATTTTATATGAACAATGATAAGTTAACACAGGTTTTTTTTTTATAATATTTTGATATAATATATTTTTTATTAAATTTAGAGTATATCAATACAATAACAAATAAATAATAAATCAGTAAAAGAAATAATACGTATACTATATTAAAATATTGTAAGAAAATTTGTGTCAATTTTTTTTTTATATTTTGGAAAACCCAAGTTTTTTTAAATTGAAGTAATATTAGCTTTTCCTTCATTTCAATGGATTTGATGTCAAATTCTTCTTTCAAATGGAAATGAACTAGAGTAACTATCGTTCCTCTTGTAGTCTCATTATTTTGTACCACACTATCTATCATATCCTTTTTTAATTTTGTAAAAACATTAAAATTATTGAATATAAGAAACTTCAAATATAACATAAATATCGAATAGATTAAGATATACGAATATATTTGGTTTGAGAAAAGTAGAAAAAAAGTTATAAAATAAAATAAACTAGCGTTTCTTACGTTACTCACAGTCACAGGTTTAAACAGCCAAAAAAGAAACACATTTCAACTAACCAAGCAATTCCAGGTTTCCTTTATTTATTCTCTTTCATTTCTATTTCTCCACGATATTGGTGGAATTTAGTGTTTTGAGTATTCTTGTGTCATTTTCCTTGGGAAAACTTTGTACACTGAATAATACGATTCTGTGATTAGATCTAACTTTAATTTCTATTTTAAAATTCATTTTATTTTCTGAAAAATCAAGCCTAAGAAAGATTATCAGCGTTAGAAAATTCATCGGATGGTCATAAACTCGTAAACACAACCATAATTTGACACCAAAAGCTTTTTACTCTCATTTCATACTATTCTTTCTTATCTTTTTCTCTCTTTTTTCCTTTAAAAATACAAAAGAATTTTTTAGGACAATTTTACCCATTAAAAGGTGTCAAATTGCAGCAACCTATGTCAAATATCTCTTTTTCCACCCCACTATATATCACATTGACTTAAGAGAAAACACTGAAAAAAGGCACATGTCTTTCCTTATGCAAACAAGAGTTAAATATCGCTGAGATTTGTTAAAAGGCTTTCTCTAATTCCTAGATTTGCTTTATTGTACGCTATATAAAAAGCCCATCAAGCTATATAATTTACAAAGCTTAATGCAAGACAAAATACATTGAAGCAACATATTTAACATCATAAAACAATGTTTGCAGTGCAAAACAAATCAAACGATTCACTAACTCACACAGTTTCCCTAAGATACAGTTCTCTACGACCTCTGGTTTTTCGATGCAAAACGAAGGACTAGGTAAAATAAAATCCTGTATAGCACAGCCCAACCAAACATTATAAGCACCACTGTCCTCTTCCTACTTCCATCAGTCTTGATATGTAGACTCTCCAAGATCTGAAAACCGGTAATGGGTACTCCATCCACATATCCAAACGTATCGTTGACCTGGTACTGGTTCATCAAGAGCCCCTCATAAGGGTATGTCATCGTTGAAATTGTGTTCATCCAACGCCAGTAACGGGGAATGTCATGGCTGCTCAAGAAGTATCCACAGAACAAGAAGAACAAGGCAGTGAAGGCAATAACCATAGCATAACCCAATATGTAGTTTGGCACCACTGAGCTCACAAATACAACGAATGAATTGGTTGACAGAAGAGAAACGAATAGAACAAGCAAGAAGTAAAGAAAAGGGCCTCGGAGTTTTAGGGCAAACCAAACAATGCCTGCATAGGCAGCTGCTTGAAGAAGAATAAATGGCATGTGAGTGATGATGCCTGCAATGGTGTAAGTGGAAGCTCTATAGGCATTATGAGAAGTTTCCCTTATGAAGATGAACCTTTCTTGGATGAAGGCTGGGACAGCATCGTTGGAAGAGAAGAAGAAGAGGCACACTGTGAAGATGAAGAAGCTGAGGCGGTTGGTGATTCCTTGCAAATCTTTTTTAGGGTTGTGGAACATGGTGGCCATCATGAAGCCCATGAAGGTGAGAACCATCAGTCTTGAGAGGAATAGCTCAGGGGTGCGCCTTATGTTTATGAAGTTGCGGCGAATGAGTATCCATATCTCTGTTATGTAAGAATTTTCAAACTTTGGGCCAAGGTGTTCTTGTGTGCCATTTGAGGGAGTGAGGTAGTCATTCTCATTCACTGTGTAGTCACTGCTGTGGGGTGTTGGAGTGGCTTGAAAGATTTCACTCGAGTATGTGTAGTAGCCAGGTGAAGCATTGTTTCTGCGCAGCACACAATTCATTATAAGCATGACAACAACGGTATTTATATTGCTATAAAAGAGTTGTACGTAAACCAATTAGAAATTATGATAGCTATAATTTCAAAATAAAAAGTTATATAAACCTTGTGGTATTGTGGGGCTTGTGATCATTCTTAAGCCGTGCTGGTGTGAACTTGAGAAATGCTGCACTATTCCCAGTGCTCCACGACATGGAAGTGTTGTTATAGGGACTTCTGAGACTGTGATCAAAACCGTCCACTGCCCTTCTACTCACCTGCGAGGAGTGAGAAAACTCCACAGACTTCTCGTCAAACCTGTGGCTAAGGTGAGAGATATTGGCATAAGAGGGTGCAATAGTGGACACTGAGTGGGGCTGGTTGGACAAAGGAGGTGGTTTCACCCCAGTGCGTGCAAACTCTGCAAGTGCTTCAACTCCAACCTCACTCTGATCGTACTCTTGGATCACGTCAATCAGACTTTCAATGGGGTTCTCTCCCTTGGGGACTTTGCGTGGCATGCGTGACAAGTGGAGGGCCACGTCTTGCGGCGACCCTTGGAACATGAGCTGGCCCCGTGCGAGGATGATGAGGTGGTCGAGGAGGAGTTGGATTCTGGACGAGGGCTGGTGGATGGTGAGGATGACGGTGCTGCCGCTGC